AGGCTCTCAACCAAGAACCCGTGCCCCGCCCCTCCCCCTCCCCGGGGGGGAGACGTGCGCCTCCGCCTCCCCGCCTCCCTCCCTGCGTTTCCAGGGCAACAGGTAAGCGCCTGAGAACTCGCGCCGGCGTGCAAAGGTTCTCGCGAGAAGATGAGTTCTCGCTCCCCATGTCGCCAAGTCTCGGGTTGCCATGGAGACCAGGGTACACCCAAGATCACTTTTTAAATGACAGAACAAGCCAAGATCTACCACCCCCGCCTCTTCCTTGAAGCCCCGCCCTCTCTCTCTTCTCCTCCTCTCCGTCACTTGCTATCCCCAACCCTAATACTGCTGCTTTTTCCCCCAATTCTTCTGTAGGAAGACGTTTTTCCAACATTTGGCCTGTCTAGGCTGGACCAAATGTCAGAAAACCCCTTCTTTTGGAAGCCCCCTTATTCCTCGTGGAAAGAGGAATATAAGAGTGACTGAATGGGGACAGGTTTCTGAGGCTGGGGAGTGGGGAGAGGGAGCTGGGGTCTGGGCAGAGGGCACTGGGAACGGGGGAGAGGGAACAGGGTGCCAGTGGGGACAGGTTTCTGAGGCTGGAGAGTGGGGAAAGGGAGCAGTGGGGGCAGAGAGTCCCCTGCACCTGCCTCCTCCCTGGATTCTTCCCACCCACCGCAAGGGAAGAGGGTCCAGGGTGCCAGTGGGGACAGGTTTCTGAGGCTGGAGAGTGGGGAAAGGGAGCAGTGGGGGCAGAGAGTCCCCTGCACCTGCCTCCTCCCTGGATTCTTCCCACCCACCGCAAGGGAAGAGGGTCCATGCCTCCTGCGGCGCAGCCAAACTCCCACATGCGCCTGCCCTGGGGTGCCAAGCACGCCACCGAGCTGTGGGAGGGGAGCAGCCAGCGCACTTCCGGAACCCCCAGAAGTGGCACGAAGCTGCAGGCAGGACTTCCGTCCACCCCGTGGGAAGCCGGCACTACACTGGAGGTAGGTAGTGGGGCTTCTCGGGGGTGGAGAGAAAATGGGGGGGCCCGAATGCCTCGCGATCGACCGGTTGGTGACCACGGTGTTAGGAGGTCGGAGGAGAAATTGCATCATGGGAAGAGCATTCTCATGTCGGTTTGTACCGCTCTGTGACTCCGTGATGTTCACATAAGGGATGTTAAATATTGGTTAATTTAATAGTCGAGTAACCTCACTAATTCTTATCAATTAGAAGTCAACTATTCTATAGTCCCCAGGGGCGAGGCTGGCAGCCAGTGCATTCCAGCCTCACTCTGGAGGAGCCCCCTGCTACTCTGTGCTGCTGCACCTGTCAGAGGCAGCAACACAGGGTGCCAGGTGGGAGCTGGTCCGTGAGGGGAGCCGGTTTAAAAACCAGCTCCCCTTATAGGACCCAGCGCTAGCTGGAACTAAGCTGGGCCAGCTCTTAATACACTTTAAATGCAGAGATGCAGTGTGGATAGGTCCTGGACCTGGCATGAGCCAGGACTGAGGCAGGCTGCTGGCCAGCCTGCTAAAAAATTTACTGGGGGGGAGGAATGCACGTAGTCTACAACATTAACCTATAAGCTTTTGCTTATTGGTTAATTAACTACACTATTACATCCCTAGTTCACACCCTACCCTGTATGACTCATGTAGTCCTCTGAAATATCTTTAAATAATTAAAAAGATGTCACAGCTGATGCAGTGAACTCACAAATTGCTTTGTGTGTTTTGATTGCTTATTTAGGAAATGTGAAAATGTTGTAACCCTCAATAGATGCTGGGCTTTCAGTGCGAATCAGTAAGGCTCCCCTATCTGGAATCTAGGCTCTGGAAGAAACCTGTGTTTTCATTAATAGCTCTCAGGATGGCCATCATCTTTAGTTTTTAGTTTCTGTAGGTAGAGGGTTTTCATAACGTTTCTCTTAAGGCCCTGAACTTGTAGATGACCATGCCTGACAGATACTTGTGCTTTTGTGGATCCCACTGATGTCACTGAGATTACATTGGCACAGGAATTCACTCACATAAAGTCACTTATAGGATTGGAGGCTATGTAATTTGTTTAAAAAAGCCTTGAGTAAGGAACAATTTCTCTTTAATGGGAGAACGACAACCTGATGTTCTTTAATTATCTGATTTCAAAATATGTCTGGTTTTGGTGTGCTTTTAACAGTTTGTCTTGAGATTTTAAAAAATTAATAAAACCATATAAGTTTTCCTGTTCTCCTGTTTATTAAGAGTCTTTCCAGGACAAAACTGCTTACACACAGAAACTCCAGTCCATTTCTCTGCCAATATTTGGCTTAAGTTTAGGAGCTCAGGGAGGCAATCAGGACAAGGTACTCTTCCTCTCCTGTTGGCTTCCTGGGATTGGCCTGAAGTAGCCCCTGTTTGCTTACCTACTGGAATAGCCAGATGGCAGGCAGTCCTGTTACATGCACAAACTAGAGAAATCACCAATATTTTTCCATCTTTAAGCTATAGTATTTGTATACATTTATAATAATATGAAGGTCCACATTTTCAGCCCTGTGTCTAATTTTAAAGTTGATGGAGTCCTTTTAAAGATTTAATTCTCTTGCCTCTCCCTCTGTGTCTGTCTCCCACTGCTCCCAAGTTGTTGATACAAGGAAATTGTTCTGCAAACAAGCCAAGACCTGAGCATTCTGGAATATGGTGCTGGTGGGAGCAGTACGTGTTGTCCCCAGTGGGAAAGTCTACAGGCATATTTTTGATGATGAGGTACAGAAACATCAGAGGCTAAACCAAATTTACTCTTCATTTGTGCTGTTGTGAATTCAATACAGTTAGATAAGACATGAATTTGAGCCTTTGGATTTTTTATTCGTTTTAGCAGAAAATAATGTTTATATCTTCAGGCTGCCCTCCTCAACAAACCTTTTGATGTTGTACTATTTGTCTTTTGAACCTCAGAATGTGTTTACCAAAGCCAAAATTTGCTATATTAATGACATGGCAATGATGGATAAGTTCAGAGGTTTAGTGTGCCAGACTCATAAGGATTTGGCTATTATACACAGGTGATTTAATTTTGAAATGGAACATCCGAATAGTTTAGTGGGTGGAATATGGGATTTGAATTCAGGATTACCTAATTTGTGTTCCCGAGTCTGCCGCTGACTTGCTGTGTGACCTTAAGCAAGTCATCTAACCTTTCTGTTTCTCAGTTTCCCCACCTGCAAAAAAGGAGATGTTCTTATTCATATTGTAAAGAACCTTGGATAAAAGGTGTTATGTAAGGGCAAATAATTGTTTATTACTTTTATCTTTTCAGCTACTTTTCCCCCACTTTTTTCAGTGTAGCTTCTTTGCTTTTCTCTGCTTTCCCTGGATTACTGAAAATTCTAAGATCTTAACTTAGTACGCTCTCTGGAGGAAGCAAGAAACAAGGCAGTGCAACCTAAGTTTCCTATGAAGAGTGGAAGGATTCCTGTGGTTAGAGACATGAAAATGTGTGCTGGTAAAGGACTGTTATCTCATCGCCAGCAGAAATGGTTTGAGGAAATGCCCAATGATGGTTCCATTGAAATCCCAGTGTTGTACAGGTATAGATTGGAAGTATACATTTGTAATTATAGATTGGTAGGTGTTGGGTTAAATCTCTTTGAAATTAGTGGGTAGAATAGCCAAACTTCATTATTGATAAAAGAAAGAAACAGCTCCTTTATGGAACCAGCTGAAATATTATCAGCTTCCACCCAAAACAAAGAAACATGCAAGGCACATGTGGGTGGCAGGCTTTCAGTAGGTTTGGTGGAAGTGTGTGTGTGTGTCTTTCTCTTTGAAAGGAGAAGAAAAAAAAACAGCAGAGAAGCTGGGTGAGAAACACCAGAAAGTCAAAGCCTCAGCCAGAGCAAGCATTGGGAATGTTGCATTGAGAAAGGCCTAGAGAGAGAATTTTTGGTCTGTGTGCTAGCTGGACAGGGGCTTGGAACTAAGAGCAAATAAACTTACATGCTGTTTTGAGAGGACTTTGTATATTCTTTGTAGTGAAACAGGATTGCGTCAAAGAAAGACCTGACTTCAACATCAATTTTTTCTCCTAACCAAAACAACCCATTAGACTGCACATTTTGGCCCAGCTACTTGGGTCAAAAAGGGGTAACCACATGTATTATGACTATGGACAATGAGGTGTGAGCATGGAACTGAAAGCTAACAACTCCTTGAATTTTAATTGTAGCTCTAGTAATAATTCTTCTACTGGGCAAATTACTGAGTATCCATGTGACTCTATTCTCCTAGCTGTAAAGAAAGGCAATACTGGCCTGGCCATCTACTGCATGTGGAATTTGCAGGGGCAGTGAGCTATATGGGCTCATGGAATATTCCTGGCCTATAGGAACCAGTTCCAACAAAGTTTGGGGCCAAGTTTCTCCCCTGGCTCCATCTGCTGCCCCCGGGCAATTTAAAATGGTCCGGGGGCCCTGCTGCTGCCACTGGCAGTGCAGTGGGGTTAGTTCTGCTCCCTGCCTGATCCCTTTGCACAAGGGTATTGGCATGTCACTGCAGCCCCTGGGCAAGAGGTGCATGTCTCCGTGTACTGTCTTTACCCCAAGCGCCTCTGCAGGCTGCAATGATTTATAAAATCATGAGTTGTGTGGAGAGAGCCGATAAAGAATAGTTATTTATTAGTTCCCTAAATAGAAGAACTAGAGGACACCAAATGAAATTAATGGGTAGCAGGTTTAAAACTAATAAAAAAAGTTCTTCTTTCTTCATACAGCGTGTAGTCAACCTGTGGAACTCCTTGCCAGAGGAGGCTGTGAAGGCTAGGACTATAATAGAGTTTAAAGAGAAGCTAGATAATTTCATGGAGGTTAGATCCATAAAAGTCTATAAGCCAGGGGATAAAATGGTGTCCTTGGCCTCTGTTTGTCAGAGGTTGGAGAGAGATGGCAGGAGAAAAATCGCTTGATCATTGTCTTCGGTCCACCCTCTCTGGGGCACCTGGTGCTGGTCACTGTCGGCAGACAGGATACTGGGCTAGATGGACCTTTGGTCTGACCCAGTACAGCCGTTCTTATGTTCTTATAATGCATGGAGACCCCCCAGTTCCCAAGCCTAGAAGCTATTGCCAGAGTGGGGTACCCCAGGTAAGCACTGCACCCATCACCCTTTCTGCCAGCATCCCCTCCTGTGCTCAAACTCTTGGAGCATTCAATCCTTATTCCCTCCTCCTCCCCCTTCCCTATGCCATCCCTAGAGCCTGCATACATCAACCAGACTCCATCCTAGAGTCTGCACTCTAGACTCACTCCCTCACCCAAACATCCTCCCAGAATCTTGGGCAGGTGGGTGGAAAGAGGGAATTGGATCTGTTCTGGACACCACCAAAGTTTCTACAAACTTGCCACCCCGAGAGTCTGTTCTGCTTCATGCATCCTGAACAAAGTGTCTGCTAAGTTCTCTATTAACAGTCAAGGTGTAAGAGCAGGAGTCTCAAACTCATGGCCCAGAGGCCATCTAGGGTCCGAGTAGTTTTACATTCCATCCCGGGTATGTTTTTCCTCTTCCCCCCGTTTCACCCCTTTCTCCCAAACCTCTTCCCCTTAATGACGTGGCCTTGGGGATTAGCAGGGGGTCATGGGATAGGGGAGAGCAGGAACACTCTCTGCATATTGTGATAATACTTAATGTCATTTAGATTTTTTACAAATGAATCTGACTTTCAAAATACAAAGCAATGCCTTTTGGAAATCCCTATTTTTTCTTCTGTGGCATAGTTCAAGGCTTTCATCATTGTTTCTATTTCAGGGAAATGACAAGATTTCTAAAAGGTGAAGAAAACGAAGATGTGATTGCAGTCCGTGAAGCTAGAGGCCTCAGTGATTTCATTAGTAAAGTTTACTACTTAATCTTAAGTTATTTTTTTATGATTCTTTGGGAATTTTCCACATGGAAGGGAGAGAATAATCGCAGAAACATTGATTGTATTATTGTACTTGTTTAATTACTCAGACTTTAGAGACATGGAGTCAAATTCAGCCCTGGTAAAAACAGGCACAAGTCCTTTGTAGGGATGTTAGCATGTAGTCGTTTACACAATTAACCAATAAGGCTATTATGTGACCATGCGTTAATTTATATTGGTTCAAGGTTTCCTTTGGGTTTTTCACTCAATAACTTGTTCCAGTGTGAAAATTTAAGACAAAGTTTTCTTGTGGCTGGACCAGAAAATGGGAATCAATATTTCTTGATTTCTATTCTGCGTCCTTCACAATTTGGCAAGTCACTTAACATCTTTTTGCCCTAATTATCCCCACCTGTTCAACTGGAGATAATATATGCCTTACAGAGGGAATGTGAAACTTAATAAATGTCTGCTAAGTGTTTTGTCATCATAGGATAAAAAGTGCTGTATAATTTCAAAGTGCTGCTGTTATCTGTGCCCTTTTGTGTTCTTGTAGTGGATTGTTCCTACTGCACAAAAACCAGAGATCTTAGCATTGATTTAGTAATGTGATGGTGGCTACCTTACACATTCTGCAGCATCACATCTAGTCTGCACCATTTTTATTTTCTTCCTTGGCAGTTCCTGAGAGGACAAATGGCAATATCATTGAACATATCTCAGAGCGCGGACGAGGCCGTCATAATGAAGCCACAGGTAGGCTAAAGCAGGAGTTAGCCTGCATTGGGAGGGTGAGACTCTAGGAAGTCTGGAGTGTTATGTAAGCATCAAGGCCTAATACCCAATATCTAATCTCCCAGTTTTAGGAAATGGAACTGTTCATTTTGGAGCCTGGTAAGTTGCTTTGGACAAAACTGTCAGAATCTGATGGAACAATTGAACTTCTATTAAAAAAGATTGAAAATGACTCTGATCTGGAAGCCTTTTCAATTGAAGTAAGGGAGTGTATTTGATTTAATCTAGTTCTCTAGCTTAAGCCCTTGTATCTCCTTTTTTATTTGCCTGCCATCTGTATGTGTAATGTCCATTTATTTTTAATTTTTCAATGGGTCTGACATTTAAATTTTTCTAACAGAGTTTTGGAGAGTTATGGGATGTCATCTCTCAGGAATCCTTGTATAGAAGGCAGTGGATTCAAGAGATGGATGAATCCTTAATCAAGTGTGAAGTGGCTTGAGCTGAGAAAGTGAGCTAAAGTTTGAATGGTTATTAATTAATTCCTAGATTAAGAATTTGTTCCCAACCCTGGATGAAGAGCAGGAAGCAACTTTCTCCCTATGGGTATTATTCTGTTCCAGGCCCTAACCAGAGCGGAGCCTTCCTTTAGTGGATTAAGCTGTCATTCTCTATCCAACCTGCACAGGGGAGAGATTTGTACAACATTCATAGCTTGTTTCCTCTCTCCCCCGACACCTGCAGGGGAGATGTGAAGAGGCCATGCAGGTATATGTGAGGTGTCTGATTCTCCTTTATGCCTCTGGTTGATTGGTTAGGGTAAAACCATGATCAAAACCTAAAGTATTTGTTAATATGCAAATCAAACACCACCACTAAGAAATTCTATGTGCTATCTGATTAGCTATTGTGCCGACTAGTGTAACATTTCCAGTCTTTTAAGCACTAGAAACCAATGTTCACAACATAATCTTAACTCATCAGAACTCTAGAGTTCTTACACCCATACTATATGTTTCTTAACTAACTTATTCCCCAGGAACTTGGGCAGGGAGGGGGAGGAAAGCCTGGCTATAATGAATCATTCACTAAACAATTGTATACATGATGGAAACAAATAAACAAACACAATCATCCTTGGTACTTAAGTACTCATCTTCTGAAGTTTGTTACATGTCTTGTAGCATTGCTAGGGAACCATTTTACTTCAAGGTTCAGCATTTGATTATCACTTAATCTATTATTTGTTATAATATGATAGTATCGGATGAATGGTCTGGCATTTTCTGGTCTGGCAACATGCATGGTCCAGCATGATTTTAGCTAGCTGGCTGTCCTCTTATCATTGGTGTGGCCAAGTTTCCCTTGGTTCTATATATTTTGTTGACCACCGCCAGTCCTGGCTCTCAGGCTGTGTCTAGACTACATGCCTCTGTCAGCAGAGGCATGTAGATTAGACACATAGGCAAAGTCAAATGAAGCCGCGATTTAAATGATCGCGGCTTCATTTAAATTTACATGGCTGCCGCGCTGAGCCGACAAACAGCTGATCAGCTGTTTGTCTGCTCAGTGCGCTAGTCTGGACGCTTCCTTGCCGACCTGAAAGCCCTTTGTCGGCAGCCCCGTTATTCCTCGTGGGATGAGGTTTACCGGGGCTGCTGACAAAGGGCTTTGATGTCGGCAGGGGAGCATCCAGACTAGCGCACTGAGCGGACAAACAGCTGATCAGCTGTTTGTCGGCTCAGCGCGGCAGCCATGTAAATTTAAATGAAGCCGCAATCATTTAAATCGCGGCTTCATTTGAGTTTGCCAAAACAAACAAATCTACATGGCTCCGTCGACGGAGCCATGTAGTTTAGACGTACCCTCAGTGTTCTGTGCTGTTGTTTAGCTCTAATTTACCCCTAAATGTCTTCTAAGAGCCCAGCAAGCAGTGGAAGTGTTGGTAATGTCGCTAAGCATAAGCATGGTTTTTATGTTTTATGCACTTCTTTATTTACTTCTTGTGCCAATACAATAAAATTGTATAACAACACTAATACTTTGTTATGAAGCAGGCCGATGAGACTTGGCTAGGCATAGGCTTATATAGGGTGTATCAGTACAATCATATTATTGAGCAGCATTGTAAGCATTGTTCCATTTATTCGTCTCACTGAAATAAAAAGGAAAAGAGACTCACTTGCTGCAATTTTGACCTCCTGTGGATAGGCAAATTCTCAGGTTTGGCACTGTCAGGTCCCAAGCATGAGGGACTAGAGAGGTTCAGCTTGAATGCAGATTTGTTTTGCCAGTCTTTCATACTAACTAACTATTTGTAAGAAAAATTCATTATGTGTATTGGAATTAGACATATGAAACTGCTCTGTGCCTCAGTTTCCCCATCTGTAAAATGAGAAAATGATAGTACCCCTATTTTCAAAGCTCTTTTTATTTGTAAAGTCTACTATTGTATCTTTTAAAAGTATGATATGGTGTTTAAGGAGAAATGGTGGTTCCATACTTAAGGAGCTAACCAGGGATTTGGGACACAGTTTCTTGCTTTGCAAAAGACCTTCAGTCTGCCCTTGAGTGAGTTACTTGGCCTCTCTGGGCATAGATCCCTAGAGGGGAGATACTAGTATTTCCCTACCTCATAGAGGGATTGTGAAGATAAATACACAAAATTAAAACTTATGCACTCAGGTGCTGTAGTAATGGGATAAATAAATGCCTTATTTTCGTACCCTTCATTAAGGATCTCCTCACAACACCTCTGTGATATAGGGGGAATAATAGCCCCGTTTTACAAATGGCGGCTCAGAGAGTTAATGAGTTGTCTAAAGCCATACAGGAGCTTGTGCTAGTACTAGAAATAGTGCTCAGATTGTTTGACTCTCAGTCCTATGCCTTTGTGACTCATATACCGCAGCAAGAAGCTTTTGGGCGCAGTGCTCTTGTTTACATAGAGCCTAGGATTTGAAAGTAAATATGTAATAGGAAATCGATTCAGATATTTGACATGGCTTTCAACCTGTCTGCGGTTATCTAAAACAGTGGCTCTCAACCTTTCCAAACTACTTTCAGGGGTTTTTTTTGTATGTATTCCAAGTTTCACATCACTTAAAAACTACTTGCGTACAAAATCAGGCATAAAAATACAAAAAGTATCACAGGACATTATTACTAACAAAAAATGCTTACTTTTTCATTTTTACCATCTATATATATTTTAGAGATTTTTGTGTCTGTCTGTCTGTCTGTGAGTCTGCGTGTCTAAAAGTTCGTTTGTTCAAGAACTCCTAAATGGTAAGAGCTAGGACCACCAAATTTGTGTGCCACTTCCTTTTATCCTTAAAGCAAGGTCGGGGTTTGGCTGTCCCAAGAAAATGGGAAGTGCTGTGAATGGGACTGTTTTCCATAACACAGAAAGGGAGGGGCACAGAGAGGCGGGATGCAATACTGAGGGTGGCTAATGGGGGCAATGAACCTGCAGAGGAGAGCTATATTGCAGAGTGACCCCTGGGGACAGCTGTACCATCAAGGCTAGGGCTCCATTATCTTGCTTGCCAGACCTGATGGAGAAGTTTTATTTTTCTTTACTTTTGAATATTTAAATTAATTCTTCTTTACTGGTTTAATACACAAGAGTTTCCCAACTGCTTCAAAATAAAACAGCATTAAAACAGAATGTCCCCTTTAAGGGTACATCTAGATTACATGCCTCTGTCGCCAGAGGCATGTAGATTAGGCTACCAGACATAGTAAAATGAAGCGGCGAGTTAAATAATCGCCGCTTCATTTAAATTTACATGGCTGCCGCGCTGAGCCAACAAGCAGCTGATCAGCTGTTTGTTGGCTCCGGGCGCTAGTCTGGACGCTCCCCTGTCGAAATGAAAGCCTTTTATTGACATCCCCTGTAAACCTCATCCTACGAGGCATAAGGGGGATGTCGATAAAAGGCTTTCAGGTAGGCGCGGGAGCGTCCAGACTAGCGCGCGGAGCCGACAAACAGCTGATCAGCTGTTTGTCGGCTCAGCGCGGCAGCCATGTAAATTTAAATGAAGCGGCGATTATTTAAATCGCCGCTTCATTTTACGATGTGTGGTAGCCTAATCTACATGCCTCTGGCGACAGAGGCATGTAGTCGAGACGTACCCTAAGAGTGAGTGCAGGGATAGGAACAGGGGACCGGTTGAGCACTAAGGCCCAGAAGAGTCATTGCTTGCCCTTGGGTTTTTTGCTGGCAGCCATTTTGTGCCAGCAGCCTTGCGGAACCAGGTAAGCATGTGGTCTGGGGTCGGGGAGGTGGAGATGTTGGGGGCCAAAGGGATTCAGGGTGGGGGGGTGGAGGCCGGGCACTGAGTATTTGTAGGGTTTCCAGGTGCCCAGCATTTTCACCTCCTGGCTGGGGGAAAAAATCAAAAAATACCGGACATCTTAGGTGTCCAGTATTTTCTGAATTTTTTTTTACCGCACAGGAGGTGAAAATACCAGGCTGTCCAGGTGAATACCAGACATCTGGCAACCCTACCCCAAACCCTTCCCCTCTCAACCCTTGGCCACAGTGCCACAGAGAGCGGGGAGAGAAAAGGCCCCTGGAAGCTGGGAGGAGCTGGGAAGAGACAGAAGACTCCTAAAGGCTGGCAGGAGGGCTGAGGAGAGACAGAAGGCCCGTGGTGGCTGGGGAGGACTGAGGGAGAAACAGCCTCTGTCAGCTGGGATGGGCTAAGGAGAGGAGAAGGCCCCGCTGGCTGGTGGGGAGGGGGGAGAGAAAGCCCTAATGGATGGAATCCCCTATGCTGAGCCCCTCCTCATCTCCAGACCTTCTCTCTTGCACCTTCTCCCACATCCCCAGTCTAAGCCCTCCCCAAACACATCCCCAAGTTCTGCCCTGATTTCTGCACCCCTTACACCACCAACCCCCGTCCTGAAGGCATCAGTAAGTATCTGAAGATTGGATTGTTAAACCGAAGCAGATAAAAATCAAAGTCAATAGATAGGCTCCCATGTCAGGAAGGATACAACACAGAGAGCTGTTTGCACCTTCAATGGTTGTTAAATTGCTAGTGTCCCAACCAACTTTCATCATGACTGAGTTCATTAGCATGTGAACTGAATTTGAGGATGAACTCTAATTCCAATGCTTCCCTGTGGATCTGGCTTGTAGAACTGGTTTGTGATAAGACAGCTACTTGGAGATCTTTCAAAGTGTGATTTGGACTATTGACATGCTCTCCAATAGGTTTCTATATGTTTCCTTTGTGCATATCTGATTTATGTCCATTGATTCTTTCCCACAGAGACCGTCCAGTTTGTCCAATATATATAGCAGTGGGGAATTTGATGGCATCGATCAGATTACTGGATGTGCAGTCAAATGACCTTTTGATTTGGTGACTGATGTTGGCTCCAGTGATGAATTCGCCAGTATAGATATGTGGGCAGAGTTGGCATCGTTTTTGGTTGCAGGGCTGTGTTCCTGGAGGCTTATGATGTGGTTGTGTGACATGGTTACCAGAAAGAATTCGTTTCAGGTTAGGGGGTTGTCTGTAAGCAAGAATAGGCTTTTCTCCCAAGGCCTCTGAGAGTGAGGGATCATTTTCCAAGATGGGTTGTAGATTGTGTATAATGCGTTGGAGGGGTCTGAGTTGTGGACTATGGGTAACAAGAGGAGTTCTGTTATTTTCTCTTTTGCGTCTGTCTTGAAGTAGTTCATGTCTGGGTAGTTTTTTGGCTCTGTCAATTTGTTTTTTCACTTCTCCAGGTGGGTATTTCAGTTTTAGGAACGCTCTGTAAAGATCCTGTAGGTGATTGTCTCTGTTTGTGGGGTCAGAGCAAATCCGATTGTATCTTAGGGCTTGGCTGTATACAATAGATTGGGAAATGTGTCTGGGATGGAAGCTGGAGGCATGAAGGTAAGTGTAGAGATAAGTGGGTTTCTGATATAAGGTGGTGGAAATTTGTCCATTATTTAACTGTACAGTAGTGTCCAGGAAGTGGTTTTCTCGTGTAGACTGGTCCAGGCTGAGGTTGATGGTGGGGTATAAGTTGTTGAAATCCTTGTGGAATTCTTCAAGAGTCTCTTTTCCGTGGGTCAAGTACCGCTTTATACGACCTCTAAAACAAAAAACATTTTATATTGCATTTGATCAAATATTTAAGCCTCATGGCATATGTGAGAGGAAGATCTCATCCTTATTTTAAAGACAAACTGAGACACAGAAAGTTTATTGGTTTGTCTAGTCACAAAACAAAGCACTGACAGAGCCATGAACCAAAAGCACCTGACTTCCAGTTCCTTGCTCTAATTTCTAAATCCTGTCCCTTCGAGCCCTTTTCCTTACCCTTCATTTTGATGGAGCACCAGCTCTTCTGCATTTCAGCAGTTGC